CACTCTTAATTGCCGAAGATCCACAAAGATCGATGTGTAGCAATTCAAGGGGTTCAATGATCTTCATGTTTATAAGAGTTGGATGGATCTTTCGGCTCTGCTTCTCCATTTCGCATGCAGCACATAGATGATCCTTATCGAACTTTAAGAGGGGAAGACCTCGCACATGATCACTAAGGATGAGCTTTTTGATATTTTTAAAGTTGAGATGCTCGAGTCTTCTGTGCCATAACCAAATATCATCAGAATGAGCTTTAGTTAACAGGAAAATAACAGACATTCCTCTTTTGGGATTTAAGGTCAAGTGATACATCTCCCCTTTCCACTGTGATTTCAGTAAAACTGCTTTCGTTTTCTTCTCTATGATCTCTGATCCTTTATCATTGAACGGAACCTTCAGTTCAGTCCCCACAACCAATTGTAAAACACTAATTAGATTGTGTTGTAATCCTTCCACATAGGCCACCTTTTGGATTGAGAAATCTCCATTTGTGATCATCCTGTAGCCTTTTATTATGCCATAAGAGTTATTACCGTACTTGACACCTCTACCATCTTTGAGAGCCCGAAACTCCCTTAGCTCTTCCTTCCTCCCTGTCATGTGACGTGAGCAACCACTATCAATGTACCATTCGTTGTCAAACTGCTTGTCACGTATTACCTTCTTGATCAACTGAGAGGATTTTTTTTTGATCTGTTCTCCAATTGGTTTCGTTGCGAAGCATCTATCTTTCCTCTCTTTCGCTTCATCATACCCGATATCTATAGTGTAACCTCTCATTTGTGACGCATCTGTTGTCACCATTAGACACTTTCCAGCAAACTCTGAACCTTCTTCCTTCGCAACAAATGCCCTGCCATGAGTGGGTTTGCGAAATTCCTCATCTTCAGAGTTAGTAGACCACACTTCTACTCCACCAAACTCATTTTCTTCAAAATTTTCCTCTACAATTAACACAGGCATAGATTTATCGTTAGACTTCTTCTTCTTGATATCTTCAAGCTTACGCATGTAGTAAGCTTCATCGTCTTCGAATTCTTTCTTCTCATTGAGTTTCCTTAGCATGCATTCCTTCGCTAGATGGTTTTTGCCATGAAAGTAATTGCAGTCAAAGCCGGAATCACCAGCAAGTTTTCTCTCCTTATTCTCTTCTTCTTTCGGTGGGGTTCTTTTAATTTCCTCTTTCGCTTTTTCTGAACTGTAGCTTCCCTGCCAGTTTCGGTTCTTGGTGGTAAGGAACTTCTTTCTACCAAACCGCATGGGTTTAGATAAAATCAAAGCATATTCTTCATTTGTCAGATCACACTCGGAAAGATCCGACTATGATTCTTCTTCAACCACAGTTTTTCCCTTGGAGATAAGAGCCAAGGATCCCATTCCGGAGACAACCTTCGTTTCCTTCATCACAACACTTTCATATGACTTGAGAATTCCTACGAGCTTTGCCAATGTGTAGGTTTTAAACTGTTCATGAGCTTTAACAGTCGACGTCACTGCCATCCATTCGGGTCATAGTCCATTCATAAAAGTGACCTTCTGCTCGACCACCTCTCTGCCGATTCCGTGCTTAATCATCTTACTGAGAAGATGGTTATAATGATCGAATGTTTTAGTGAGACTTTCATTTGAATTTTGCTTGAAGTCACCAAACTCCGAATAGAAGAGTGTGAATGGAATGCTCGAGATCCTCATCGGTTGAATACAACTCCTTAAGCTTGTACCATATCTCCTTTGCAGTAGTACACGAACTCATAAGACAAAAGGTGTCAGATTGTAAATCAAATCTGATCATCCACATAGCTTTTATGTTGCTAGTCAGTTTATCCTTATCATCTTGAGGGGCATCCTTCACATCGATCAAGAGCTTATTTTACTCTTTATGTGTCTAAATGGTTCTGTTGGTTCCAGAATGAACGAATGCACCCAATGTTATAGCCTCCTATATCAAATACCCGTTATCTTCTGAGCCAAGAACATAATCTTCAAAGTTAAGAGCCCAGGCTTCATATTTGTGAGTATATAATGTCGGAATCCTTGTGGTAGATCCAATGCTATTGGAGATGTTGATTGGATTAGCTTGAGAATCGTCGTGTGACATGATGACTTTACTTGTTTACCATTTAAGAATCAGACTTGTAAAGCAGTATTAGGGTAATATCGAGATCTAGGAACAATGTCAATAAAGAGATGACTGCTCCAATAGATTCGATAAAAGCGGAAACCTTAAAGACATTCTTTTAACAGAAGAGATGTATATGAATTACACAGCCTCCTGCTGTAATACCAATTGATGAAACTTACAGAACTATCAAATCGAATAAATTCTTAACAAGCAAACCAAGAATGTAAATTTAATAAGAAAACAAGATGATTCAAGACTGATGTCGAATGATTAATAATCCACAACCTTAGAAGATCTCTATGAAGAACTGTTATTGTAGATGTTGTGCTAGGGTTACAATACAATTAAAGAGAAATAACTTCTATCTGTTTCATACTATGGTGCATGCATGCACTATATAAAGTAAACTCTAATAAATGATACACGGTTGGACAGACCCAATACCGTATACAAAATAGACTAAATTTTTAAGCCGAATGACGCAATCTTCTATACCCAACAAAAATAATAAAAATTACAAAATTTTATGGTTTTATGAAAATTTGTATATTTTTATCAAAGTATGTCAATATCAATATAATTAATGATTATTATTCTTATACTCCATATGTTATTTTACTTTGTGAGCTAGCTGTGTATTTCACGAGTTATAACCTAATATATATATATATATATATATATATATATATATATATATATATATATATATATATATATACTCTACGAGATAAAGACGAAAGATTAGATAATAGAGAGATAAAAATAGTGTTTTTAAAACCAGTTTCAACTGGCCAATAGAACCGGTTGTACCAGGAACCGGGGAAGGGACGGTTCAACTATCACCAGTTTTACAGCAATTTCTGAACCGACCATAGAAAAAACCGGTTGACCCAATCAAAATAAATCAGTTGAACCGTTTAAACTAAATAAAAATACATAGAAAAAAATCATTTTCAATAATAAACTTTGATGAATTTTTCACATCTATTTATATTTCTCTAAATAAAAACATATGGTAAATGTTATGATGTTTTTTGATGCACTTATATTCATCTAAAACTATATTTTGTTTTGTTATTATATTTTATTTTCTTTTTGACGTTTTATAAATTGATGTAAAATTTATTGTTATTTATTATTGTAATGTATTTAAATTGATCTACAAAATAAAAACTTATTTTTGTATGTATTTTTAACGTTTGAACTAATATATGTTGAATTCATGATTTATATATATATATATATATATATATATATATATATATATATATATATATATATGTAGAAAAATAAATAAAATAGATGAATTATAGAAACCGGGTGATCCGGTAGTCGAACCTGAAGCCAGTTGTCATACCGTTTCAACTTAAAAACTGTTTTTTAAAACATTAGATAAAAATAATATTTTACAAAGTTTAAAATGACATTTTAAAAAGAAAAATAATAAAAAAAACAACAAGCTTATAAAGATAAAATTTTGACAAAATTAAATATATGGCCCGTATAGTCTATGAATGAATAATAAATTTTAGTTATCATTAAATGTCTATATGTTTTTTATTGTCAAGTACAGCTAATTTCTAGAGAGCATGTTCACGTGGTTTCTATACTATGTTAAATGTTTCTCCAATATGATGAGTTGACCGTTTTATTTAATTGGATAATGCTGCATGAATAATAAATTTTAATTATCATTAAATGTCTTTATATATTTTTTTTATTGTCAAGTACATCTGATTTGTAGAGTGCATGTTCACGTGCTTTGTATACCAAATCAATGATCGGATTGGAATTCTTTTATATATATATATATATATATATATATATATATATATATATATATATATATATATATATATATATATATATATATATATACACACGAAAAAGTTCAATAAAAAAACCAATATGGATCAAAGAACCAAGGAACCCATCTTAACCATTTATTTTCTTTTAATCTTGGCCATTAATCCTTAATTAACCAAAAAAAATACGAAGGGGCATTTTGGTAAGTTCAGCGTCTAAGCTAATGTTGTTGTTTGTCTCCGTTAGCGTCTTGTGTCACTGTCTTTCATCGATCGATCCAAAATCTCGGTTGTTCTTCGAAATCAACATTTTTCATCCAATTTACTAATAGTTTCTTCAGATTTCAGTTAATAATCAAGTATTTTTACTATCTATTCATCTTTTGTTTGTGATTATTAGGTCAATTATGATGCATTGTTTATCAACTTATTTTTATTGTTATTGTAATTGTCTATTGTCAAATTCTATTGAGTTTACCGTTTAATCTTCAAATTGTTATGTTTTTATTGTTAATTTGTTATTTTTATGTTGTATGTTGAATTTGCGTTTGATATTACTGTTTTTCATTCGACTGTTTTTGTAATCATTTGTCTGTAATGGATATTCGACATTTAGATAATCAGTTATATCTTGTGCATCTTCTGACATTTAAGTTCTTTCCAAACTTTTAGTGATTTTGAGAATCTTATCTTATCTTGTGCATATATTTTAAACTTTTGTGATTATCTTGTTTATTTGTTTACATTCTTTGAATTCTTGTTCAGATTTGCATTAAACTCTTAATGAACAATCACGTAAGTTTTTTTTTTCTTAATATAAATTTCACATTTTCTATATAATGTAATAAAATATATGGTTTTTTTTTTGGTTTTGCAGTTCATGATCAGTCATCTTCAAATATAAATATTGATCATTCAAATAACAGTAATTCTTGTTCAGATTTGCATTCAATTATTAATGAACAATCACGTAAGCTTTTTTTTCTTAATATAAATTTCACATTTTATATATAAATGTAACGAAATTGATGTATTGTTTGGTTTTGCAGTTCATGATGAATCATCTTCAACTATGAATATTGATCATTCAAATAGCAGTAATTCTTGTTATAGTTTTGATTTTGAGCTCTACAATACTGAAAGTTTTAAGCTTGTTCCTTATGATAAGTTGATACATAAGAAGCCTTTCAAAGGATTGTTGTTTGATTCATTGGACATTGGTCTTGACTTTTACAAGACTTATAGTCAAGAATGTGGTTTTGATGTGACTATGTCAAGTCAAAAAAGATACAATGATGGCATAATTCGTATTAGATATTCGACATGTAGAGGATCTAGTTTCACGGATGTTAATGTGAAATTTTCAGATGTTAATAGAAGGAGAACTTCTTTAAGAAGAATGGATGCCATGCTGTTTCAAAGTTCAAAAATCTCCGATGTTCTTTAATGTTCTACATTTATGTGTTTGTTGAAGATCACAACCATGAACTTGTTGCTCAAGATCAGTTGCACTTATTAAGGATTAATAAGACAATGGATTTTCTTGATGAATCCTTTATACATAAGGTTGGTACTTGTAACATTGGTGCTTCAAAAGCTTATAACTTGGTGAGTAGTATGAAGGGTGGCTTTGATTCTAGGGGAGGGACTGCAGTTGACTTTAAAAATTTTCATAGTGATTTGAATTGTAAAATTCGTGTCAAAGATTCCCAAATGGTTGTGGATATATTGACAAACAGAAAATTGTGTTTCTCTAATTTTTCATTTGAGGTTCAAAAAGATGTTGATGATCATCCTACTAGACTTTTTTGGGCTGATGATATTTCGAAAGCCAACTATAAGGAATTTGGAGATGTACTATCTTTTGATGCTACTTATTAAACAAACAAGTAATTCCTAATCCTTATTTGTTATTTTTGTGGTATTTGTTCTTTTTAATAATACCTATAAAAAAAATTCAAGTATTCTATGGTATTTGTTCTTTTTACTGGAGTTGACTACCACAAGCGTTGTGCTACTTTTTCTGCTGGTTTACTAGCTCGTGATACAGCAGATGCATATGTGTGGTTGCTTGAAGTGTTTCGTAAAACATTTGTCAAGCCTCCCATGATTATTGTAACAGATCCGGATTCATGAATGAAGAAAGTTGTTAATTTTGTTTTTTTTTAATCGAAGCATAGACTATGCATGTGGCACATCACTCAAAAACTTGAGGAACAGGTATATTTTTTTGTTTCTAGATTCCTGTATATGTTTATAACCATATAGATCATAAAGCATATAGTGAATTCACAATGTAAATTTTCATATGATGAAAGGAACAAATATAAATCATAAATCACACTATGAATTCATAATGTGAACCAAATGTTATGTTAATATGAATTACATCAAATATTCAACATATGTAATGATTCTTATATGTTTGTTTTTTTTAGATTCCTATCGATGTTTATAACCATCCAGACTTCCAGAAGACATTTTTTGATATCATATGGAATCTTCAATGTTCTCCACAAGATTTTAAAAGTTCGTGGTCCGCAATGTTAGATAAGTTTCATCTAAAAGAAAATGATTGGTTAAGGTTTGTTTTTAAAATAAGGGATTTATGGATTCCAGCTTTTATGAGAGATCTTGAACTTTCTGGTTTGATGCAAACTACTTCAAGATTAGAGAGTCTGAATAATGCTTTCTCACATTTTTTGCATCATAAATCAAATTTGGTGAAGTTCATGATGTCGTTTGATAGTGCAATGGAGAAGCAAAGGCATCATCAATCTTTATCAGATTATCAGTCCACAACTACTACCCCAAAGCTAAGGACTCCTTTGGCTATTGAAAAGCATACATCATAAATTTATACACGTAATATTTTCTTGGACATTCATGAATAGTTATATAAATTCGTGTTTTATTTTGTTCAACAATCTGTAGTTATTGAAGATGAAAGTGAAGTTTATGTTTTGAGAGATAAGAAGAAAAAAAAAGTTGATTCATAAAAATGTGAATGAGGATGAGGAATCTGATGACTTTTATCGAAATAGTCTTCCTTCTCATTGTCCTAATACTCGTTACAAGGTATGTCTCTTTGTCCTAATACAGTTTATTAAATATAAAATGTAGTTTCAAAATTCACACTGTGAATGTAGGATGTTTTGCTAATTAATAGTGTGAATTTTTATAGACTTATAAATTGGTTTGTACTTTTCATTAGATTAGTATGGAATATTTTTTTGTGAATTTGATTTGAATTACGTATTTATATTATAGTATTATGATTTCTAATGTCCTGTTGATTAATAATGTGAATTAATTTGTATAATTTATATCAAATGGTATAAGATAGAATTTCTTATTCACATATTAATTTGTTTATTAATGATAATTTTTTAGTTTGTATTTAGTAAAAGGGGTGATAGCATTAGCATCAGTTGTAGCTGCATGCTTTTTGTCTAGTAAGGATTGTTATGTCGTCATATGTTTTTCATATTAAATATGAAAGAGTATGATGAAATTCCATCAAATTTCATTTTGAGGAGATGGGGAAAAGATATCATAGCTGATGGATTGTTGAGAAAAAGTACTCATATCCTTATAAAGGCAGTAAAAATGAATGTTTGATTCAAGATGCATATGCTATTCTTCGTTTGTCCATTAACAAGATAGCAAATAATGAGGATGAGTTGGCTAAATATATAAAGCAACTTCAGGAGGTTGATAGTTGTATTCCTTTATGTACCTCATCAAGGGCATCTTCGAGTAGATCAGTTCACATTAAAAAAATTATTGGAGCTGTAGTACCTGATGTTATCAACATTCATAATCCAGAGGGAATCATAAACAAGGGATGGGCCAGTGGTAAAAGAATCAAGCGCATTATAGAGAAAGTGGTTGAGAAATCTAAAAAAGGTACTAGGTTGTACAGTTTTTTGTCATAAACCAAATCACAATGCTAGGAGTTGCATTTTGAGGTTTAAGAAGTCTGATTGGCTGATTGTTTCTAATTTTTTCTTTTTAAGACGACTAAAATAAGATTTGATTTTTGTAATGATCATTAAATGGATAGAAATGTTGAAATATTGATGTTAATTTTGATATTCATTGTTTTAGAGTTTATTTCTAATAATAGAATATATTTTTTTCAAATTTATTGTTTTTGGTTAAAGATATTTTTTATTGTTACTTTTTTGAATATTTTCTAATAAAAATTTCATGCTAATGATTTAATTTATGTATATTAATTATCATTGATAATCTCATATATAAAATTTTCATGTTAAAGATTGTATTAATGTAATTTAATTCACATTGTGAATCTCAACTATTAATTGTTTTAATGATCTATATGTACCATAATTCATATTGTGAACCTCACATATATAATATACATGTTATAATATGTACTGTTATTCACATAGTTAATCTTACATATAAAACTTTCACAAGGTTAACATATAAACAATGTAAATTTTCTACATATATTGGATTGTTATTACATTAACATTTAATCATTTAGACCAAAAGAAATTAAGTAAATGTATGAAATGACAATGTACTTTCAATTCTTCATTCAGAGTAGAAATATAATAATTTCCCCCCACCCATACACCAATATAATATTTTTAATAAAACATGTAATTGTATAAGATACATGTAGACATTCACATGAAAATATAAACATCTTTTAAGTATTTAATAAAGTTCATTATATTTGATATAGAAAGTAACATCAAATTGTAACATAACAAGCACGTCTATGTTCTTAAAGAATTTAAAGTGCATCTAAACTTATACTAATAATGAATAGAAAACTAAGTTTTAAGTTTTACACTTCTTTTTCCACTCCTTGAAGTACTATATCCTTTCGCCCCTTTTTTCTCATCCCTTGTCAAGCAAATCTTTTATTTCTTCATTAGTCTTTTTTCCAAACTTAGTTGTTTGTGCAATAATACTTGACCTGTGTGTGTTTGCGTCACTCAATAGTATCTTTGTCAAATACTTAATGCATAAATCGTTTAACACACTGTGTTGTTGTTTTGATTCTTTTGGCAATCCACATGTCCAATTTACTATTTTATCTCCCGTATATCTCTCCATATGACGGATGCAAAAAACTCCACAGTCAACGTGATTATCCCTCGTGCGCCAATTCATGTTCACCCTTTCTGGTTTAACACCCACCAAAGTTAAAGCTGATTTGCGATTGACCCTCATCAAGTACCTACTAAAAAGTATTTTCTGCAAAAAATGAAATTGTCATTTTTTATAGTTATTATTTTATTTAGATTATCAGTCTATTAATACTTATATTTATAATGTAAATTTAATATTCTTACCAATTCATTAGGTGCATCAAGATAAGCTCTAGAAAACTTTGCAACTGAATTCCTATTATCAATAACATCAACCGTTGGTTCCTCTAAGTTTATGCAGATGATGTAAAATTGATTTTTTTGATGAACTGGTAAAAATAGCTGTTTAATAATTTAAATTGTTAAACATTGTTAAAAATATGTAGTATATTTTTCCCTTGGTAAAAACAGTTGTTTAATAATTTAAATTGTTACACTTTGTTAAAAAAACAACTGGTTCCTCAAGCATTTAATTAGGGTATTTTGGCCCTTGGTTTATAAGGGAGTGCTAAAAGGAGGCCATAGTGGCAAAGTGGTAAGTTTGGAAATTTAAGTAGTACGCTGGGCGTATATGTGGTATGCTAAGCGTACTACGGCACCCTAGTACGCTCGGCGTACGTATGTGTACGCTGGGCATACGTATGCCAGTACGGAACCATAACTTTTATGTTTTGCCGAGTATTTAAGCGTCTTATGGACCCTTCCGTCTCATCTCTTTCAACCTCCACACCTCCCTTAACTGTCTTGAGAAAACCCTAGCTTCCTAGTGAACATTCTTGAGCTTATAAGTGTGTTCTTGTGCGTTTCAGAAGAAGCTTGTGCATCAAGGAGTCAAGGAGGGAAGATTCGCTTGTAGATCTTGCTTCATCAACTGCTTTGGGGGCTACAGAAGGTATAACGTTGTTACCTTTGTGCCTATTTCTTCTAGATCTAGCCATTCTAGCTTTATGGAACCATTTCTTGTCCTAAAACGCCATTTTGGTGCATGTTGAAATTTGGACAAGATAAGTTGTCCTTTCAAACCATTATAGAGGTCTTAAGTAGTAAAAATGAGGTACGAATATCTTAAGATGTCCCATGCATGTAGTAGAAAGGTCTTAATGGATTAAGACCTAGGCTTAAGAGCTTTCTGGAGGTCCCAATTAATAAAGTTCGAGACTTTATGGCTCCCAGACACTTTTGGTCGATTGATCTGAAATATGGGCTTAAGTGCTTAAGCCATTAAGCACTTTGGAGAGTTTTGGTTCAGTCGCGTGTACGCCCCGCATAAATCCAATACGCCTAGCGTACTGGGTCAACCACCACGATAGTGTTC